GCGCACTGTAGCAGTGCGCCACCGGGCCGGCCCTAAATAAGTATAAATATTAAAACCAGTATGTATGTTTAATTTTGTAGTCCTTTTCTCCCCCCAAAAGCTGTCATTAATACATCTCTTACTCAACAGGATCTCAGAACTAAGAAAATATAGGTAATACAACACTGAACCTCAGTTTCCTCATAAGTAAAATTGAGGTAATAATTCTATCCAGGTCATACATAGGGTTTTGTGAAGATTAACTGAGATAAAGCACATAAAACTCCTAACAATGTACCTTCAACATAGGAAATGTTACACTTACACACACACACAAAGTGTTCATAGTGACTAGATCTGAAGAGAACTGGTGATTTGGATGGAAGGCCTCTTCCATAAAATGCTTTTCATAAAAGATTGAAGAAACTTGCTCAGGCCTTGCTGCTGACGTGATATCTCTTACTTGATTAATGGATTTCAAGCAGGATGTTAGATCTTGGAGCCCCTAGGAGTTCTACTGTTTTTCTAAGGTCTGTTAGATCTGGCTGAGGTGCACTTAGGCCTCTCATCTTTCAACTTCTCCCTGTAATCTTCCTCCTACCTGGTCTCCTGACTTCCAAGCTTCCTGCATTCCACAGTCTCTTCATAATGCACCAGAGTTATTCTTTTAAAACTCAGTCAGGTCATGTCATTCCTCTGTCCAAAACCTTCCAGTGGCTTTTCCTATCACAGTAAAAGCCTGAGAAATAAAAAGCAGGCCCTGACATCTAGAACAGCTCTGACACAGCTAGGCCTTGGAGTTGCTAGAAGTTGGCCTGGTGCTCACAGATAGTCCAGGTTATTCTTTTGTTGGACGTAAACAATGTCACAGAACACCTACATCAGACAAGGTCACTCAGCCCATGAAAAAGTGAGACACAACAAGGCCACTTTATCATTCTAAGCAGAGACAAGAACAAGGTCACTGTACCAAACACGAAATAATCAAACATCCTCTTCTCTCTCTGCTAATGAGTGACTGCTGCCTCTTTACCAATTACAGCTTTATACTCACTCTAGTTTGTCCATCCTATGTGTATATTTATTGAGATATCCAGTCACAGCAAAATGTTCCTGCTTTCTGACAGCACCCAATCCAGAGTAAAGCCTGGCTTCCTTAAGCCCTTCCCCCAAACACCCAAATCCTATAATAGGTTCTTCCAAACACTCTCTTACTGTCCAGTGATTCTCCATAGTCCCTGCTTCCTCACTGCAAGGAGTAATAAACCCAACAGGAGTGTTCTTGATGGTCTCTGGCTGGAGGGCACTGACAAGCCAGAATCCTTAGAATTGTCTACAAAGCCCCACAGTGATTCTCTGAATTTATCATGTATCATGATATCAGCCTTGTCAAAACAGATACTTGGGCCCCGCCCACCAAGTTTCTGATTAAGTCTGAAGTGGAGTCTTAGAATCTGCATTTCGAACAAGTTCCAGCTGAGGCTGCAGGTCTGGGGATCACACTGGAAGAAACATTTCTCTAAGCCATCTGTCCCTTCCCCTTATTTCTCTGACTTAGCCTCCCACTTGTGCTTACTCACCTCTTACTTCATTCTACTCCAGCCTCACTGGCCTCCTTGCTGTTTTAAGCCTCCCCAGGCACACACTTGTCTTAGGATTTTGCTTTGGCCACCCTCTAATTTCAAACGCTTACTCCCTCACCTCTCGGTGACACCTACCCCAAATCCCTTACCCTGTCGTTAAAAAATTTATTCTCCACAACATTTAATCGCCTTCTTACATGCTGTATACTTTACTTATTTATTGTTTTGCTCTCCTCTACTAATAAAAAAAAATGACAGCCTTAGGGACAGCAGCCATTTTTGTCTATTTTGTGCTCATATCTAGTAAAATAGCTGGCAAATAGCAGATGCTCAACAGTTTTTTTGAATAGATAAACGCTCCTTCCAGCTTTTCAGTTCCTTCTCCTAATTGAGTCACAGCAGCCCTGTCTTTGGATGTTCCTATAAATACAATCACGCTCCTGCTTGACCAACCCCTTGGCAATTACAATATCCAGCTCCTCAGACTTCTTAGCTTCAGTGCCTCCAGCCAGGGATACAGAGCGGGTAAAGTAACTTAGAAGTCAAGGAGACCAAACAACGCCAGAAAATTACTGTCTTGACCAACCCCTTGGCAATTACAATATCCAGCTCCTCAGACTTCTTAGCTTCAGTGCCTCAAGCCAGGGATACAGAGCAGGTAAAGTAACTTACAAGTCAAGGAGACCAAACAACGCCAGAAAATTACTGTATTCTGCATCTCTTCTTTGCCTTGCTTCTCCAGATGACCTTATCCACCAACCTCCCTTCTTCCTTGCTTTCAAACTCTTTGTACCTGGCTTTTTCCTCTCTCAACCACCAACATGGTTATGGCGCCCCCCGATCCCAAAAAATGAAAAAGAAAAAAAAGGGCAACCCCTCCCCCAATGCTGCACCATTCTCATGCCGCTGTCCTATCTCCCACTGAAATTTTGCTTTTTAAGGTCCATTACCTCCTCCTTCCTAAATCCAACTACAATTTTCGGTCTTGATCTTTTCCGATTCTCTGTTGAACTTAACTCTCTTCTAGAAACTCTCCTGAGGGACACCGCGTGTTGCTTCTACCTCTTTTACTGCTTCTACTCGGGTCCTTCCTATTCCTCTACATAGATGTCTCCAAGTGTCCTTCCAGGAAGCTGGGTCGTGGCATCCCCGCTGCCTACGCGTCTCTGGCGGCTCTATCGTCACCTGCCTGCTCACGCTCCACGCTGCAGGAGCCTTGTGACTCCGGGAAGAGCCGCGGCTGAGCCTGCGGCGCGGACAGGGCGGAATTTCGAGTCTGGGAAGGGGTGTGGCCTTGGACAGCGCTGGAGGTTTGGTCCTCGGTGGCTTCCGTCCTGCGGCGAGTCAGGAAGTAGGTCCAGAGGCTGAGATTGTGGAACCTGGGTGTGGGACCGGGCTGGAGATGGAGTTCGACTGCGAGGGTCTGAGACGGCTGCTTGGCAAGGTGCGGACAGCCCGCCGGACCGGGTCTGGGCCTCTGGGTCTGGGGGGTGTGTCTCCGCCCCTGGCCGGGCAGCCTCCTTTTTGCGTTTCGCGGCTTGTCTTGGGGCTTAGGTCCGGGGGCGGGCTGATGTGAAGTCGGCTGTGAGCGTGGCCCCAGGAAGGCCGCGGAGGTCGTAGGCCCCACCTCCCTGCGGAGGCCTGGGCTCTGGCTCCTCCCGCGACCCTGAGGTCTCCTAACCTCCACCCGATGTGAGTCCTTCTCACGCCAGCAGCTTCACTGGCCTCAAACACCTCCCAGCACACACTACCCCTGTAACCACGCCTTTCTCTCCTTTGAAATGGCCTGCTCCCCGCCCCACCCCCCTTTTTCTTGAATTGCAGTGCTCACTTTTTTGTAAGACACAACTCAGAATCACTCCCTGGAAGATTGAATCACTTCTTTCTCTCTACCTGCTTTCAAAAATACCGATCATCACATTGCGGAGTAATTATTTATTTACAAATCTTACTCCTTTACAGACCTTTTTGCCTGCAGAGACTGTCTTTTGTATTCCCTCTGTCTAGCACTATGCCTAACAACAATGTAGGTGCTAAATAACTGTCCTGTGAATGAAATATCTAAGTAGATTTAGGAATGAAGACAGAGCTTGAAGGCCCAGTAGAGATCCTCTTAAGGTTGTAAGGTTGAGAAGTGGGAGGACTGAGCAAGAAGACTCTCCTCCAGGGACCTGACTTGCACGAGTTTCCAGGTCAGTGTGTTCCCGAGACACCAAAGGTCCGTTTGCTCGCCGCTCAATAAGTCAATAGTTGAGAGACAAGTGTTGGCATAAGGAAAGATAGCCTTTGATGAGGAAGCTGGCAGACTGGGGAAATGGTGGACTTATGTCTCAAAGACAATCTCCGCCTCCCCCAAGTTTGCCAAGGGATTTCGTAGGGGTCTGTGGTGGAAAGTTGATTCATGATGACTAAAGTGGAGACGTGTAGACGGGCTTGAGTGTTTCAGATAATCGACAAGGAACTTCCCAGGTGGGAGCTGACCATCCTCATACTTCCTTCTCCATGGGTTCAGTTCTGGTTTTTCTCAAATAAGATCAGGTTAGTAAGGTAGTAAAGAATGGCCATCTGGGTTAATAATTTTTCACTAATTGTTCGTGTACAATGTGAGAGCAAGAGTCGTTGTGGCCTGGCAGTTAGCTGCAGGCTGTGTGGTTTGGGTTACAGGGGAGAACAAATTTTAAATTCAAAGATTTAACAAAATGGAGTCACTTCTGTTCAGGCTATTACAAGTAGGCACTTTCTGACCTCTGAGTCAAGGCTCTCTTATTCCCCGCCAGTGTAAACTCTAAGGAAATCCCCCTTTTCATCTGTTTCCTAGTTAAGTGATTCTTAATGCTTCTTAAGACTTTCCCATGTGGAAACCATACATTAATGCCATTTTTGTGGGACTTGCTTGTGTCTTTCTTTGGTGGGGCAGTTTGCACACCTATGGGAGGTTCGAAGCCCCAGGATTGAAATTATTTATGTAATTGATTTGAATGTTTTTATCTACTGAGACAGATATAGGTCCTTTAGGACAAGAAGTATCAGCATGCTTAGGATTACTACCCTTTCTCCTCTTCAGAAAACATGAAATTAAAAGAACCCATCTATCAAGTTTTAATGTGGGGAGGATGATGGATTGTCCAATGGGAAGAATTGAGAGTAGAAAACAGACTACAGCATAATTTTGGTGTAACTGGAATGAAGGAAAAAGACAAGAGAGAAAATGGTTTCTCAAGGGTGACAGTAGAAGAGTAGAAGCCTTTTTTTTTTTTTTTTCCTTTTTTGTCTTTTTTCTTGACCGGCAACGGATCGCAACCCTCAGTGTCGCGCCAGTACCGGACCAACCGGCCACGGGATCGCAACCCTCGGTGTTGCTCCGGCCCTTCGCTCAGCCAGTGAGCGGCCGGTCTGTATGTGGGATANTGTTGCTCCCGCCCCTCGCTCAGCCAGTGAGCGGCCGGTCTGTATGTGGGATCCGAACCCCGACCCTCGGCGGGAGCGCCACCGCACTTCCTAATCGGCGCACTGTAGCAGTGCGCCACCGGGCCGGCCCCTTTAAAAAAAAATTATTATCAGTGCATAGCATAGAGTCTGGCACACAAATGCTTAATGAGTGTTTGTTGGATGTACGAGTGTACTTCAAAAAGTTCACAGAGAAATAGAATTAAAAGGTTAATACAAATCTTTCCATGAACTTTTTGAAGACCCCTTGTATAAATTAAGGAAACCAATCAGACAAGTCAGTCCAGCAAATATTTCTGAAGTTCCTTAGCCCTTGCACTAAGCAAATAACATAATAACTTAATATCTAGATAATAATTTTATTGCAAAAAAATCTATTGAGAAGTGAGCAGTACATTAAAAATCAAACAACTGTATCGAGAAAGTGAAAAATCTTATTGAAAACGAATAAGAGAAAACCTAAATAAATAGATGTCTCAACTTAGTGGATGTGAAGATGTCAGTTCTCCCCAAATTAATCCATAGGTCAAAGTAATTCCGATCAGAATTCTAACAGGTTATTTTGGCAACTTTTCAAACTGATTCTAAAATTTATTTAGAAGGTCAGAAGACCAAGAATAATCCTGACATTATTACTGGTCTGGGGACTTGCTCTACCAAATGCAATGCTATGGTAATTAAGATTTAGTGTGCTGTTGGTGTGGGATAAACAGATTAACCAGTGAAACAGACAAGAGGACTTAGAATCATAGTCACACATTTGGAAACACAGTATAAAACAGAAGAGGCATTGCAGATAACTATGGAAAGGAGAATACAGGGACTAGTGATTATCCAAATGGGAAAAAATGAAATTGTATCCTTAACTCACACCAAACATAAAAATTCTTGTGGATTGAAAACCTAAATATAAAAGACAACTTTAAAACTTGTCATGATAAATATTATAGACTCAGAATATGCAAACGTTATTAAAACAAGACACAAAGACAGAGAAATTTAACTATATTAAAATTAAGAATTTTTATATATCAAAAAACATCAAGAAGAGAGTGAAGAGGCAAGACTTAGAGATATATCTGTAACGCACGTAACTGACAAAGCATTGGTATCCCGAGTATGTAAAGCATGCCTGTAAATCAATTTTAAAACTAATAAATGGAAAATTGGGCAAAAGACATGCATAAGCATTAGAAAAAAAAAAAAAGAGGAAACAAAGAAATGAAAGTTTGCTGAATCCATTAGTAATCATGGAAAAGCAAGTTAAAACCATGGTAAACATCATTTTTCCTCACTAGATTGGCATAAATTAGTATAAACACTGCTAGTAGTTAAGTGGTAATTTAACCATTTTGGAAAACAATTTGGCCTTATTTTGTTAATTTGATTGTTTGTGTTCTATGTCCCTTCTACATCTAGTTATATACCATAGAGAATTCTTAATGTTTGATATATGAGACAAGTGCAAGAATGTTTATAG